TCAGACTCATTGATTATATTATTTAGAACCTCTATCAGCAGTACTTAATCTTTTTGGGGGTCAATGACCAATTTAAAAGTGAAGTTCTAAATTATAAGTTAAAGTGTTGAATACTATCTCCTTAAAAAAAATGCACAAGAAGTATTTTTATCCTTAATACTTCTTGAAGCATTCATGGATCCTCTGAAAGTCCGTAAAGGCCATTGCTCTGTTTATTTTTGGTTACCAGTATTAATCAAATACTGTTCAGTATTAACTAAAATACCATTTTGGTATTAACCAAGATACTGTTTGGTTAACAGTTAACAGTATTTCTAAGCAAGAAAAAATGTCCTTGAATTATGTCACTTTTTAAAAGATCTTTGTTATATTTTTCAAAATGCTAAAAGTCTTCATTTTTAAATCTTCACTGAAAAGTATTTATCAATATAAACAAGGACTTTTTCCAATTCGATGCTTTTTTGCCTTCTAGTTTACTTTTTTTGATTTGGAAGGGGCTTTCATTTGCCTAGTATATTTTTACCCATTCCTTCTTCATTCACCTGTAATTTTGTTTTAGGTATACCATATATAAATGGCAAATAGATTTTATAGAGGAATTATTCTCATGTATTCAACAAATATTTATTGAATATCTAATTACTTGCCAAACATCTTTAATCATTCAGAAACGTTGTGATAACAGATCTGTTCAGTCTGCTCCGAGTGATTTTTTTAAGAATTTAAATCTTAAAAATCCTAACCATCTTAAAATCTTTCTCTGGTTCCTCAATGTCTGAGCAATCAAGTCCATTCCATTTCCACACTATGAAAGGCTCTTTGTGATCTGTTCTGTTTTCCTTTCAGTCTCATCTTCTTTTATTCCCCAACCTGCTATCTTATATCCACTTCAGCCCTATCTACATGCTATTCTCCAAACTTACCATGCCTTTCACAAAATCCTGTCCTCTATACTCGGAATTCTTCCTCCTGCTTCTATTCATCCTTCAGTATTCAGTTCAAAGACCCAGGGCCTTCACTAACACCATCCCCACATCACTGCTCTGTGACTCTTTAGACTTTTATTTTCAAATACCTACCAAATACTCCACTTGAATATCCTAGACTTCAGATTCGATATGCCCAAAATTGAAAATATGTCATCTCCCCCAAATCAACCCATTCCCCATTGTCCCTACTTCAGTAAATGGCACTACCACCTATCTTCTTGCTAAGCTGGAATCCCAATCACCATATTGGCTTATACTTCATAATTTCCACTACGTAACTTCCTGCTAATTCTATCAATGAATTGCTCTCAAATTCATCCAGTGATCTCTATCTCTACTGCCTCTACCTAGTTAGGCCTCCAATATTTCTTTCTTTTTTTTTTTTTTTAGGCAAGGTAACCCTTGGTTGACCTCACAGATTGCAAGGACCTTGTCAATTACAATTCCTTATTTTTTATTTTTTTATACCTAGTTGGCCACCAATATTTCTAATCTGGATTACTGAAACCATTTTCTACTTACTTCCCTGTACCTCCAGTCTTAATTCCCCCTAAAATCCATCCTAGAATACATCTGTCTAAACACAATTCTAAACACGTTATTTCCCTGCTTTAAAACTTTAGTGTATAAGGATGGGGATGGATAACTCTGAAGACACAAGAACTCTCTACACCATGTCCAAACTCCTTACGGATCTTAAAAGTTCTGCAAGTATAATCCTCCCCAGCCCATCTCTTATTGTCTACCACATCCTCGCATGCTCAACGTTTCCAGTTCCCCTACCACTCAGTGCTCTTTGCACAAGCTGCTTTCTCTGACTGTAACACTCTTCTTTCTACCTGGCTAACTCCTACTCATTTTTAAGAACACAACCAAGACACCACTTATGTTTCAAATGATTCTCTAAATCTCAAAGTCAGGGTCAGATCTCCCTTCTTTGTGATTCCACTGCACACTCTACAGATTCTGCCACACTGAGACAAACAAGGTTAACTATTTGTTTACTATATGTCTACTTCCCCCACTAGTGTGTAAACACCAAATATTGCAGTGACTATGCCTTTTTTTGTACTTCTTTCTCTATCTTTCTTAATCTGAACTCAGAACACATACCAAAAACTGGGCTAGACTCAGGGGAAGGAGCGAAAATTGATGGAAGAAATATCAATAACTTAAAATATGCAGATGACACCATATTACTGGCAGAAAGTAGCAATGATTTGAAAAACTTCTGATGACAGTGAAAGAAGAAAGTGCCAAAACAGGACTGCATCTAAACATCAAAAAGACAAAAATCGAGGCTGCAAAAGAAATATACAACTTTAACACTAATAATGAAGACACTGAAATTTAAAGATTTTGCTTACTTTGGTTCAGTCTTCAATTCAAATGGAGACTACAGCCAAGAAATCAAAAAGGCTGAGACTCAGAAGGGCAACAATGGAAGAATTACTAAAGATCACCAAAAGCAAAGGTGAGTCATTACAGACCAAGGCTAAGATCAAGGCTAAGATCACCCATACCCTCATGTTCCCAATTACTCCATACCAATGTGAAAGTTGGACAGTGAAGAAGGCTGAGAGGAAAAAAGAATTGATTCATTTAAAATATGGTGTTGGAGGAGTGTTCTAAGGACCCTGGACCACCAGAAAGATGAACAAGTGGGTCCTAGAACCAATTAAGCCTGAAACATCGCTGGAGGCAAAGATGACAAAACTGAAGCTGTCCTACTTTAGGCACATCATAAGAAGGCAGGGTTCTGTGGAAAAGACAATAATACTGGAAAAATAGCAGCAGGAAAAAAGGAAGACCAAATGTGAGATGGATTGACTCCATAAAAGAAGCCATAGGCATGATTCAGTCTACAGGAGCTGAGAAGAGCAGGGCCGTTGAGGACAGGACATTGTGGATATCACTCATTCACAGAGTTGCCAGGTGTCAGAGTCAACTCAACGACTCAATGACATGTAACACATACCTACATGTCTTTCTTGTTTACTATGGCTTTCCTAGAGCTTAGAATAATATGGTTAATCAATAAATATTCATTAAATAATTAAGTACAACAGGTATAGAGAGGAAACAAAGAATAACAAAACTGTATCTGCCCTGAAGCCACTGATAAATAAACATCCACAATGATAATTATGAAACAGAGATTTAGGAACAATGGTAGAAAAGATCTAACAAAGAGAAATACCAATTCAATCTTATGGGGTAATCTCCAAAGTAAGATGTCAAAGATGATTCTTTATAGTATGCAAAGAAACTATTAGAACTCTTATTTAAATATCTTTTTAGTTTCTATTTTGAAGTACGTTTTCTAATGTAACAGTAAGTAGTACAAGCATTCACAACTGGGGCTGTGCTCAACTTTGTAGTGAGTGGAGTAGACAAAAAGGCTTGGAAACCAGTTCTAGGGCATTGGATCTTAACCTTATGTATTGCAGGGAGGGGAGGGGTCACAGAGCTCTTTGAAAATCTGATAAAAACTAGGATTACCTCCCAGAAAAATAAACATATTTTTTAATACTTTTATATGATTTCTAGGGTATTTTGATCCTCTGGTTAAGTCCTGCCATAGGACCTCTATTTCTAAAGCCATAAGGAGACTAAGAAGAAGAAGGTCAGCCCTATGATCCTATTATTCCTTATCTTTCCTTTTCTCCATAAATCCTGCTCACCCTCCTACCTAAAGTTAACCACACCTTTCCCTAGGCAGTTTGGAACTTCCATCTCCTCTGTAGGGATGCAGTCAAACATTTCCTTCTCAAGGGTACCTCACACACATCAGTTATTCCTATACCATTACCATAATCTTTACCATTTCCTGAAGCACTCATACTATTTTCTTATTTATTTTCAATTACAATTGACATTCAATATTATTTTATATTAGTTTCAGGTGGAGAGCATAGTGCTCATACATTTACATAATTTACATAGTAATTCCCTCCAATTAGTCTGGTACTCACCTGGCACTATACTTAGTTATTACAATATTATTGACTTTATTCCCTATGCTGTACCTTTACATCCCCATGAATATTTTGTAACTACTAATTTGTACTTCTTAATTCCTTCACCTTTTTCACCCAGGCCCCCAACCCCCTTCCATCTGGCAACCATCAGTTTGTTCTCTATCAGTCTGCTTCTCTTATGTTTATTTTGTTCTTTAGATTCCACATATAAGTGAGATCATATGACTTATTTCACTTAGCATAATACCCTCTAGGTCCATCTATGTTGTTGCAAATGGTTAACATTTCACTCTTTTTATGGCCGAAAGTAGTATTCCATTGTATATATGTACCACATCTTCTTTAACTAATCATCTATTGATGGGCAGTTAGGTGGCTTCCATATCTTGGCTATTGTAAATAATGCTGCAATGACATAGGGGCGTATATATGTTTTTGAATTAGTGTTTTGGATTTCTTTGGATAGATATCTAGAAGTGGAATTACTGGTAGTTCTATTTTTAATTTTCTGAAAAACCCCCATACTGTTTTATTTTCTTAATTTTTAAAAATCAACTTTTTAACCTAAATGTAGTAAAATCCTAAGTAATAAAATTTGTGAAATCACAGTTTTGGTGTCGTGGTTATTATTTTCTTACCTCACATCAAAATAAACATACACTTTAAAAAACGGATTTCAGATCCTCACCAGCCACCAACTTTTAGAGCACAATCCCAAGGTTCCTGCAGTTAACTCTGGGATCTCTGCTGGGGAAGCAATGATGTGAATATCAAAAGTTGCTTTCTGGGTTTTTTTTTTTAAGCCAGAAGAAACTTAAAAACATTTAGTCTAATCCTCTCATTTTGTACATTAAAAAGCTGAAACCTGGAGAAGTTAAGTGATTTGCCCAAAATCAGATGAGACATTTAATGACATGTCTAGGATTAGTATTCAGGTCTACCATCAGTTGGGTATGCTTTCTTCTACACTGTATCCATTCAGATTACACTAGAATAATACAGTATTAAGAATTCTTCATCTGTTACCTACCTCACTCTTCCATTCAGATTTATCTGAACATGCTGCTTAAAATCTGGATATTTGGATGCCAGATATGCAAAGTCAGGAGGTTTGTCCTTATATCTATTTCTTGCATGCATTGATTTACTCAGAGCCATCTTTAAAAAGAAAAAGAAAAGAAAAAAAGAAAAAAATCAGCATATTTAGTTTTAAAAAACATTAATGGGGAAAAGATGTGGTTGCCAAGTTAACAGTTATAGCCAACACATCCTTGTCAATAAAGTGAAAGTTATATTTTTTAAATATATACAACAAATAAGCATATGAAAAGATGTTCAACATCATCTGTCATTAGAGAAATGTACTCATTAGGATGACCATAATTTTAAAATGTTTAAAAGAAAATAATAAGTGTTAGAGAGGATGTGAAGGAATTGGAGCTCTCATTCATTGCAGGTTGGAATGTGAAACGGTACAACTACTGTGGAAAACAGTTCGATGGTTTTTTAAAAAGTTAAAACATAGAATTACCACATGATCCAGGATTTCCACTCATACATATATACTCAAAAGAACTGAAAACAGGAATTCAAACAGATATTTGCATACTGATGTTCATAGCATCATTAGTCACAATAGCCAAAAGGTGGAAATAATACCAAGTGTCCATAAACAGATGAACAGATAAACAGAATGCGGTATATACATACAATAGAACATTATTCAGACATAAAAAGTACTGAAATTCTGATACATGTTACAACATGGACAAACCTTAAAAACATTATGCCAAGGAAAATAAGCCATATACAAAAAGAATATTGTATTATCTCGCTTATATGAGATACCAAGACTGGGCAAATTCATACAAATAGAGAATAGAAAAGAGGTTACTAGGGGTTGGGGGAGGGAGAAATGATGAGTTATTCTTTAATGGACACATAGTTTCTGTTTAGGATAAAAAAAACTAGAAATGGATAGTGGTGATGGTTGCACAATATTGTGAATATACTTAATGTCACTGAATGGTACACTTAAAAATGGTTAAAATGGTAAATTTTATGTTATATGTTTTACCACAATAAAAAAAAGTGTATACAACATATAATTATTTTTTTAAACCAAGGGAAGAAAATAAGAACAATTCCTTTAAAAGCATCAAAGTGGCAGAAGGTACAGCCAAGAATTTTATAATCTACAGCTAAGAATATTATAATCAGAGGTTAGTTTTTACAGTGGCCTTGCATGGATTGAATATTTGGTAGTACACCAGGAAATCATTAAAGTTTCAAAAACATCTTTGATTCCAACTTCCTTTATAAATTTCAGTCTTGTCATTCCCAGCTAGCTAAAACCAAATAAAACAAATTTTTTTTTCTTCTTCTAGATTACAAAGAAAAAAGTTAAAATGCATTTATAGCAAGAAATTAAAACTAGAAGCCATTATAGTGGTTTAGTAAATCTCTAAGTAGTTGGTAATTTAAAAATATTTTAGTGTACTAGTTATCTCTGGGTCGTAGGTGATTTTTATATTCTTCTTTATACGATTCTGTATTTTTCACATTTTTTATAATGAGCATTCATCTAAATAGTATTATATAAGCCAGAAACCTAAGAGTTACCTGATAGTTCCCTATTCCTCTCATAGTCCAAGAAATCAAAAGTCATGTTGACTTATTCTGCTAAATACCTCTCAAATCCATTTTTTTCTCCCTACTTCCACCAATATAAGCCCAGTACAAGTTACCTACTGCTACAACAGCCTCTTAATCGGTCTCCCTGAATCCCTTTCATTCTCTCCATTTCTTTTCTCGCCTTGCAGTGATAACTTCTAAACACACATCTTATGTCCTACTATGCCTACTTGCTCAAAACCCTACTCTTCAGAGAAAAACAAAAAACCTTACTTCAGCATACATGTAAGGACCAGAATGGTGTGGGCTCACCTATTTCTTTACTATCAGCTCAAATCACACTCCCCTAGCTCATTTTTCTGTCCCTCTATTTTGGCAATAGGGTCTTCACACAAGTTACTTCTTTTGTCTATAGTGCTCTTTCCTTCCCCCTCTTTACCTGAAGAATTTCTATTCATCTTTACTATCACAGTTCAAGAATCTCTTCTTCAGGAAGATCTTTCCTTCCCTAATCTCTCCAGTTAAGTAATATCCCCTGTTAGAAAGTTTCCTAGCCAAAAGCACCTTTCCTTTGCAGGCTCTGTTAAAGATGTAACTGCATAGTAATAAATCTGTTAACGCTATTTCAGAAGGTTTTTTGACAGCTTTCCACACTGGAAATTTAACAACCATTTTCAAAAAAGAATTGTCTTCACCCCAGACCTTTCCAAATCATATCCAACTGCCCACCAGACTTCTCGCTTGAATGGCTCAAAAGTACTTCATGTACGACATGTCCAAAATTAAGTAATTTCTACCCAGCCCAAAATGGTCCTCTGTGAATCTTCCCTATTTCACTAAATGAAACCACTATCTTTCTTATGGCACACAACCCTGAAATCTTTAGCATCTTCTCCACCCTACTTCCTTCATTCCAAACATACCATGTCCTGAAATTCTCTATCTCCTAATTATTTCTTGACCCTATCTATTTTTCACCCTTCACAAATCTACACCTCTAGGCCAGATTATAATCTCTTTATTGGATTACTATAATAGTCCCTAACTGATCTCTCTATAACCACTCCTGCAATCCACCTGTCACCCAACAGACAAGTCTTCCCTTCCCCACCCCATGCAAATCTGAACACTCTTTGCTAAATCCCTTCAGTGGCTTCCTAAAGCTATTAGACTGATAAAGTCCAAAATCATTATCAAGGCATACGTAATCTAGGCCTTACCTATCCCTCTAACTTCATTTGTTGCCACTTTCCCCTTCCTACACTATGCTCCAGACATATTGGTCTTCTTTCATTCTCTGCTGCATCATGGTCTGTCCCACCCTCCCTTCACCTTGTGAAGACTCAATAGTCCTTAAAACCATACCCTAGCATCATTTTCTCTGGTAGCTTTCTCTGACACCACATATCCATTCAGATGTCCACTCTACATGCTTTCAAAGCACTCTGTACTTTAGAGATCTTTGGTTTACGTTTGTCACATGCACGCACGTTCACACACACACACACACACACACACACACACACCAGGTTACAAACATGTCCATCTTATTCTTCATTGTACCCCCTAGCAACTGGCGTACAATAAGTATTTGTTGAGTAAATGAATAATTTGGAATTTGGGGGAATTAAGAGTCACTTGGAAGTTCTTTTCCAGTACATTACCATCTTTTGTCCTTCACATTATCACAGAAACTCAAGATATACAAGTCTTAATTTCCTAACATTAACATACACTTTACAGATCATCAGCAAAGAAAGGAGCATAAAACCAGGACAGGTCTCATTCCCTAAGAAAAAGTTGAAAAGAAAAATACTTTTCTTTCTTGTGATTCTGGCAACCAACAAAAAAAGAAAGGTACTCTAAGAGTAATTTCAAGAGACAATGGTATGTTAGGGTTCTGCAACACATTAAGACTTTAAAGACTACATAGCTGACATCAGTGTACATACATAACACTCTGAATGTATGTGGAACAACTTAAATTATAGATATGTGTCAACAAAAGAACATCCAGACCTATAGAAAAATCGTAAGAGTTTATTTGAGCCAAAGTTTTTGAGGACGTGTCCAGAAGCAAAATCTCAATGAATTGAGAAAATGCTCCAGTCTACAGCCATGCTACCCTGAACAAGCCCGATCCCGTCTGAGCTAAGCAGGGTCGGGCCTGGTTTATACTTGGATGGGAGACCACCTCGGAAGACCAGGTGCTGTAAGTGTAAAAAATAAAAATAAGGGATTGTAAACTGACAAGGTCCTTGCAATCTGTGAGGTCAACCAAGGGTTGCCTCGCCTAAAAAAAAAGAGAGAGAGAGAAAATCCTCCAGAAAATGGCAGTTTTACAGTTCCTTTTATGCATTTAATCAAAGGAGAAAATGTAAGGAATGTACATGAAGTCCACTGATGGTAGATTAAGGTGGGAGAAAGCAAAGCAGCAAAATCTCTAGGATTGGAAAAAAAGCAAAATGGAGAAACACATGCTTTTAACATTAGTGGGTATAGGATAGTTAATAATTAACATTTATAGTACATAGAGGGTATGCAGAGAACAAGATAACGATGAGGAGTTCTGTGGTCTTGTGCTATGGTGCCTACAGTTGTGCTTTTGAAGGGTCTAAAAAAGAAAATCACTCTGAAATTTCAAAGGTATGTTATCCTAGATGCGTAAGAACAACAGACAGGCCTCACTTAAGGTAAAGATTGACCTTTGCTAAGGAAGCTGTAGGCCTGGGATGTGACTACCCGCTATGACCTGTCCAGTTGGAATTTGTGATCAAACTATCCAGTGTGGTTATTTTCGGTCACTGAGCTAGTCAAGCCTACCATGCGGCCGCTCTGAGTTTGTCAGGTTTATCACATAGACCCTTTTTCATTCACATATGACAGATTCAATTCATTTCCTACATTATTCAACCTTTCTGGTCAGGATAGATAAAGGAGTCAATAAAGCCACTTTCTTTGCTAACCAAGCGCTAATACAGGCAATGGGTTCTTAGCTAAATCGATCCCATTCCTCAGAATTTAACTGAGTGTCAACTCTTAACCTGATATTAGCAATGTCACTTCCTTTTCTTTAACCTAATGTACTTTTCTATTCCTGGCTCATTCTGCTCTGGCTACAATGGCCTCCTTGTTGTTTCTCTATCAATTCTGGTATGTTCCTGCCTCAGGATTTTTGTACTTGCTGTTTGGTCAGCATGGACCGCTCCTCCCCTAGAAATACACACATATAAGGTACTCTGGCCTTGTTCAGGTCTTTTACTCAACTGTCACCTTCCGAATGATGCCTTTCTTTAATACCTCTACTTTAAAGTGAAGCAAATGAATACACTCCTTGTTTCCTTTACTAGCCTCAGTCTTCTACATAGAACTTACCCATTTGGCATTCCATATACTTCACTAATTTTTTAAAATCTATCTTGCCAGTAAGCTTCATAAAAGAAAAATATTTCGTCTATTTGCTCACTGCGATTTCCTAGCATTTAAATTAGGGCCTGGGAGAGTAAGCACTCAATAAGTATTTGTTGACTGAAGGCACAATGGTACCCTTTTCACTGTCTAGGCCACCGAAACACAACACCCCCATCCTTGGTGAAAAGTTCCCTCTTAACTCACAAAGAGGCTCAGCCTTAGGGTTGGGGGTTTTTCCCGGGTTACCCGAGTCAGTCCAAAAAGCAGTAGCACGAACTTGTTTCCTTGGGTTTTCCTGCCGCTTAAATAATACCACTTACCTTAACAGACAAGTCTAAATTCTGCTTTCAAAACTTCGAATATCCTTCTGCACAGATCCCAACCACTTCAACCCTAATCTCCATTTTTTCTCGTTGCCTTCCCTTATAAATCTGACTTTTTCTTCCAGTCCCGCCAATTCTCCGTCTCTTCCCCTCTTTCCACACCCTCATTTCACTCACTCAGTTTGTCTTCCCGCCTCAGTTTCGGATCTCTCTAAACCTCTTCAGCTCCCAGGGGTCTTTCCTACCTCAAATCCTAGTCTCCATTCTATTCGCCAACGCCCCCCACCCATCCCACCACCACTCTCGCGCGTGCACACACCGACACCCACACCCCCCTACTTACCCACCCACCGGGTCTATCTCCCTAGACCCCGAAGTGAGCACCGCACGGGCCCAAAACCCGAGAATGAGGAAACCTGGGTGATGTATGGGTCAAGTGAACTCTCAACCTGCTTGAAAGATATTAAGTGACTTACCTCTGAGGTCGAAGTTTCTGCCGACGACCAGTTTATATTAGGCCTCTAACCTCAGTGTCTTAAGCCTACCGCAGCGCGAAGCTCCTGGAAACGCAGATGTTACGCTCCCAGCGCGCCGCCATCTTGGGGCTGCCATCCGGCCTCGTGGTTGGACAAGTAACTCTCGCGCTATCTGTAGCAGTTGCTGAAGAAAAAAAGAAACTGTCGCGAGACCTGGAGTTTGCGGCTCCAGATGTAGAGGGCGTTAGTAGCAAGTGGACTCCTTTTCGCGAAAGCACCTGCATTAGGATCTGCTAGGTAACTTTGTTTTGTTTGTTTGTTTTTGTTTTGTTTTTAATGTAGGTTTTAAAAAGTAGCTTTCTGGGCCCCACTTCATACTTACTAAATCACAGTCTCTGGGGTTGGGCGAGAAATATGAGGATGGCGGGGGATTGGGAAAAGAGAGCTTTTGGATTCGATGGCGGGCAATTAGCGTTTATTGTGCAACAGGGCTCTTCATGCGATATTTCATTTAAACATCACAGATAAACTGAGGTGAGAAAAAGTAGTCTCATTTACAGAGGAAGAACTGGGGATCAGAAGTATTGTTATTTGTTCAAGATCTTACACCCGTATGACAACAAATCTATGTTTTTTTGTATTTCCTCACCTGCCTCAGCTGGAAAAGCTATTAAATACGTTTTATTTTTCTTTTCAACTAGGTTATACTAATTTTTACCCTCTGGTAAGTAGAGTGAGCATTAGTCTCCCCATTTTACAATTGAGACAAAAAGGCGAATTACTTCGAAAAGGTGTACAGCAAGTAACAAAACTAGGGCTAAAGTCTGAGCCTCTGGATCCTCATCATTATTAAAGCTTGCCTAGGTCCTGGTAATTAATGTGAAAGCTTCTGGCAAACTGTTGCAATAAAATTCATAAACAGGGACAAAGGAATGAAGACTTCAGCATTACACAGAACTGAGTGTATCAGGATTGGCCTAAAGAAGATGAAGAGGTGTTTTCATTATCTATTGTGTAACAAACCACGCCTAGCCATTCTTCTGCTGCTCTTGCTTTTGGTGGTAGCATCAACTGGGGCCTGGTTGAGCTGGAATGACTGGCCTCTCTCCCTGTAGTGGCAAATTCTCTCCTCCATGTGACCTTTCCACATAATCTCTCCAGCAGTATAGCCATGCTTCTTACATGGTGGTTCAGGGCTCACAAAAGGGGAAAAGTGGAAGCTGCTAGGCCTTCTTAAGGCTTAGGTCCAGAACTGGTGCTTTCACCTTACTCTATTTGTTAAACCAAGTGAAAGGGCCAGCCCAGCTTCCAGAGGGACTATAGTAGGGTACCCCTTCAGTACTAGAAGATATAGTTCACTAAGTCTGCCATTGTAGCAGAATACCACAAAAAATTTTCTGTCTTTAGTTGGTAGTAACTTTGGTACAGGTTATTTTTTATAGTATTTGGTGCTTTCTTCTAAAAGGGTAAAAAAGAAAAGCCTTGGAGGTATGACTAGTAGGGTTGACAGTGGATTGCATTTAAAATGCTGGTGAATATCTTCTCTGTCAGCTCCAGACAGATCCAAGTCCTCTGTGGGTTGAACAAGAGAAACCCTAGCTCTGCAGCCAGGAAATTTGGGCTTTTATCTTGATCCTACCACTTACTAACCTTATGATTATGGACAATTTACTTAAACTGTTCGAGCCTCAGTTTGCCCAATATTGCAAAACCAGATGGTAATCTCATGAAGTTGTGAGAAATCAGATGATGCATATAAAACAGCATAGTTTCTGGTACATAGGAAGGTGTTGTTATTACTATTATTATAATTTCTCTAGTCACTTTCTATTTTTAAAAATCTTTTATTTCATAAAGATAAAACATGTTCATTATAGTAAATTTGTAAAAAAAAAAATTAAGTAATACAGGAAAGTATGAAAAAGAAAGCAAAAATCTAAAATCTCAACCACTTAGAGCCAATCACCATAAATTTTAATAACCTTACTCCTAGACCTCTATATTCATAAAGACATTACTAAATTTCTATAGGAATATTTTCTATTTTTTTAACTCAAATATAAATCCTGGAGGTTTTATTTCAGTTAATATAGTTCTAAATAGTCCTTTGTGATGAGGGCATAGTGTTCCATTGTGTGGATGTGCCACATTTTTAAACTAATTTTTCTACAGGTGGACATAGATTGGTTTGCTTCTAAAATTGTGGTGCAATGATAAATACATCTCCTTTAAAAAAATTTTTTTACATAAAATTGCCTAGAGACTTCACAAAATAGATTTAAAAGACATTCAACATCTAATTTTTAGGGCTTATCTCTCTGACTTACCCTCCCCTGCCACTGTCCTTTAGCCAGGACCAGCCAATTAACATCCACAGGTCTCTCTAACTTCATGTCTTAGGGAGCAACGATTGAGTATCAATTCCTTTTAGCCCAGAAGACCTTGGCCTTCTTATGTAAATTTATTTAACTCTCTCTGAGGGACCAAGTTAATATGTCAGATCTAATGGCTACCTTAATTAAGTCACAAAAGCTATACCCTAATCCCAGAATAATGATCGTTTCTCAGCCTCCATTTACGTAACTGAGAGAACCACTCAAGTGATGCTTTACACTTAGACACCATATTTTTTATTATAAATAATGCTGAATTCTTTCAAGAACGTGGGAAGTAAATTTCAAAAATTAATGCTGATAGAACTGGATCTAAATGTACATCTGATTACCCTCCCTCTTGTTCTAAGACCCAAAGCAAATATATTAATTAAAAATAAATAAATTCAAATGAATAAATTCCAAATAGGACTGAAAACCCAGAAATAGTACTATTGGCATACCAAAAAAATTGAGAATGCTTTGAAAAAAATAGGACACGTATAGGAATAACAAGTAAAAAGTCAAGTAGTTTTTATCGGAAACTGCAGATGATTTTGAAATTTATCTGGAAGATAATGTGTAAGAATAGATCATTATAATGGTTTTCACCTAGAAAAAATTAAAATTACACCATACATAAAATAAATCCCATATGGATAATAAAACAATTATTTAAACAAAATCAACTATAGAAGTATTAGAAGAATGTAAGAGAATATTTTTATAAACTTAGAATAGGGAGGGCCATTTAAAGATACAAAACTCAAAAACCTTATAAAGGAAAAGATTGCCAAAGTTGATTATATAAAAATTTTAAAATTCAATATAAAAAGGTAATATAATAATAGACAACAAACAAAATGTTTTATTTAGTATATGTAATGGGCAAAGGGTTAATATCCAAGATATATTCTCAAACAATGACAAATCAAGAAAATAATCCAGTGCTAAAATGAGCAATGGATATGAAGAGAAAGCAAAAGATCATATATAGTTGACCAATGAATATATATAAAAAAATGCTTAGACACATATGTAATCATAGGAAGACATAGCGAAATAACTACAATGTATTGTTTTTAACATCAGGTTAATAAAACTAAAAAATGATGTTCAATGATGGCAAAGGTTGGTGTGTTGGTTAGTTTTTGCTGTGTAACAAACTAAAACTTGGTGATGCAGAACAACAAGCATTAATTATTACAATTTTGTGCATTAGATGGACAGTTATTCTGGTCTGGACTAGTTCAGCTGATCTCTGCAGTTTGCTGGAGGAAACACTGGGATGACCTCACATGCCTGGCAGTTGGCAGGCTCATTGGTCTAGGACAGGGGTCCCTAACCCCCAGGCCGCAGACCGGTACTGGTCCATGGCCTATTAAGAAATGGGCCACACAACAGGAGGTGAGTAGCAGGCAAGCGAGCAAAGCTTCCTCTGTATTTGCAACCTCTCCCCAGTGCTAGCATCACCACCTCAGCTTCACCTCAGATCATCAGGCATTAGATTCTCATAGGAGCACCAGTCTCTAGTGCCAAAAGGTTGGGAACCCCTGGTGTAGGGTAAGGGTCAGCAAATTAATGCCAGTGGGCCAAATCTGGCCACACCTATTTATACATAGTTTATGGCTTTTTCACAATACAACAGCAGCGTTGAATAGTTGCAAGAGAGACCCTATAGTCCGCAAAGCTGCAAATATTTACCATCTAGCCTTTACAGAAAAAGTTTGCCAACCCCTGGTCTAGGGAACCAAAGCTGGGAGTGTGTCTTTGCTTCACATTGTTTCTCACATTCCAGTAGGATAGAGTAGGTTTATTCACATGGCAGGAACATTCCAAGAAAGCTAGAGAGTAAGCTACAATATCTCTTAAGGCCTAGCCCAACCCAAATAAAAAGAGTAGGGAAACAGACTTCACCTCTGGGTAGGAGGAACAGCAAAGTATCTGGCCAATTACAATCCACCATAGTGAGTGTAAATTGCATTTACACTCATTGAATGCATATATATGTATGCATTCAATCTTAGAATATTTGCAAAAAGAAAAAACATGGTGATTGCTTCTAGAGTGAAGAACTGATGATTTGGGAGACAGGAGTAGGAAGATTCGCTTTTCAATATAATTGATTTAGTAACTTGAATTTTGTATTAAGGATATATCAAAAAATAAATGTAATAAATAAAAAAATAAATATTCTCCTAACCAGCAATTCCATTTTTAAGTTATTTCCTAAAGAAATGCAGTGATATTGAGGTGGGTACATTGATGTTCATTGTCACATTGTTTATAAAAGAGAAGGAAAATGGGAACAATGTAAATATCCCTCAGTAAAGGAATGAGTGAATAAATTATGGTACATCAGTAGTATGGAATGCTATAAAGCTGTTGACAGTACATAAATCTATGTCTACTGACATGGAAAATCTCCAAGATATAGAATAAAGTAAAAGAAAATTGTGAAACAAGAGTTTCAATTTGATACCATTTACATACAGCAAAAACAAAACACCTATTTCAATATAAAAATCTAAACATATAAAAGTCATTATAGGAAAAAATCTGAAAGGAAAAACCCTAAACTGAATCTGGTTACCTTGGAGAAACTGAGTTGGAATATTAGAGGTGGGGCATGAGAGTTTTTAATTTTTTCTGTATCATTTAAGTGTTTTAAAATGTTAATGAATTAATATACAGTTGTATAATTTGAAAATAGATTAAAAAAATAAAAAGAAGATAAAATCACTTTTGTTAAGAAACCACAGCCTGAAAACTCATTCAGGA